TGTTTGACATGCTTGAAGAACGAAGAATCATAAAACACGATTTATGAACCTTTGACAACATCTCTATATAGTTTAATTAAAGTTCGGTGACTAAAAATAGTTTTTTCGAAAAATGGACCGAAGGTTGAAGAAGATGAACAGTAACTAAAAATCAACAAGGTGGATCGATCCCCTGGGGTATTTTTTTGTAGTTTGGATCGACCCAGACTACTAGATCGATCCCCCAAAATTGTGCTCCAAAAATCTTTCTAAAAATGTTATTTTTGAGCTCTAAAATCCTATTTTTGATACCAATTGATTATGATCATTATAAGGATGATTTTTCATAATAAAAATAATGTTTTTGACAAATAAAATCTTATATGATGCATGACGGTAAGTTAAGGTGTTAACACTCGAAATTAGGCCATTATTTACTATTGGGTGTTATGTTGATTGATGATTTTGAATAATGAACACTAATTAAAATGATTATTAATGATTAAACCATAATTAAAATGAATATGTTGATGATTTGTATTGTTAAGGATATCTAGAAGAACTCTAGGATATACCCATTTGAAAATTGATGATGAACTATAAAGGATATCTAGAAGAACTCTAGAATATACCTATTTGGAAATTGATGATGAACTATTAAAGATATCTAGAAGATTCTAAAATATATCCATATTGATGTTGGTTTCTAATACTATCTAGAAGACCTCTAAGATAGATTAGAAATAGGCCTTACGGGTATAACTATAAATATTCGATGGCCTGGGTAAACACATACGTATGGGATCCGCAAACCAAACTTGAGGATCACTCATTTGGGATACCACCCAACCTGACAGTGAGCATTCCGCTGTTCGATTTCTGGTTGACCTTAAGCAAAGGTAAGTTTAAGATTTGAAAAACCTTTTTCAAATTTGTATCTTAAACTAGGCCTAGCTTGAGGATTGAATAAAAGTACCTTAGACTAGAATATAGTTTAAGAATCGGTTAGAAATATCTTAAACTAGAATTCGTTTAAGGGTTGATAAACATTAAAGAGATTGGCCTTAGATTAAGAATAGTTTAAGGATATTGTTGAATGACAAATGATGAATATTGAATATTGAATGTTGAATGATGAAAATTGAATATTGATTATTGAACATCTTAACTGAACATTATGTGCATGATATCAAATGATATGATTATGAATTGAGTTTCAATTTATATGGATGTTGGACGCATTAGATATGCTTACTCAGCTTCAACGCTGAGCGTGTAGTATGTTTTATTTGCTACACGCAGGTAAGCAAAAAGAATGAAGCGATGATTTCTTGGAGGCAAATGGGACGAGATAGTCGGAATGAATGTGTGAATTGGAATTACTGTTTTTTTAAAGACATGAATTAATTATGTTTGTATTGTGTTTAATTAAGCTTCCGCAACTTTAAGTACTCCGTTATTATTTCAAATGAATTATTTTGAAATAAAGTTTTAAATGTTTGAAATATTTTTGAATGTTTACGAATACCAAGTTTATATTTTAGTCCGAAAGGGGATGTAGACCTTGATGGATTAGAGTGTTACAAGAAAAGTGAGAGAGTAAATAATTATGAAATTACCTTATACACGACACTTACCATTTCAAGTTTTAACACTTACCTTTTGTAACTGAAACGTTTAGGCGGGAAAATGCAATGGCGAATTCCCCTCTTTTTAAATATAGCATACATTACTACATTTTCAATTTATACTACATTCTAAGCTTGAGTTTGGTGTGAATGATTGAAGATGGTCTTAGACATGTTGAGTTAGAAAATGTCGTCCAAAATAAAAGAAAAATATAGAAATAATATCAAACTAAGAGTTTCATATTAACCCCAAAACAAAATTTTGTACTATGCCACTGTTATACTGTATATTGGTATTCCACATTATTTTTTAGTATTACATGTTAACATTATAAATATTATAACTCCTATTTTGAAGATAAAAATATAGAATTCTTATTTTATTACTCTCTACCTGTTTTATTCTAATGTAGTCTTTTTCTTTTTGGTTAGAGGCGAAGGGATACTATTCATTTTCCATCTCCATCCTTATGAATACCACTAGCCTAGGAGGCACATTGTGTGTGGTGCCCAAAAGGGTTTCTACCTGACTACTTCACATCTCGAAGACTTTTAATATTCCTCAAGAGTAGAATATACTCATACACATAAGAGCGTCAAATACATTTTAGTTTCAAGAACTTGAAACCAACTTAAAAGTTAATCAAACCCAATGCATAGATTCCTACGACTTCTTTGTTCAAGAAAATTAGAGGACACTCATACACTTCTAATCTGCACCAAAACATACGAAAATCCTTGTTTTGTATTTGAAATAATGAATAGTACAACCTAAGTGAACCGAAATAAACACAAAACTTTGAAAGATACTAAGGCTCCGTTTAGTACATGGAATTCAAACTATGGAATTGGAATTGGGGGCTTCAATTCCAATTCTAGTGTTTGGTAGCACAAATATTATGTAGATTTGGAATTGATAGTGCAAAAAATGAATTGAAATTGACAGAATTCAATTCTATGGAATTGAATCCAATGGAATTACAATTCCAATTCAATTCCAATTCCACCAATTCCTTATACCAAACGGACCCTAAGAAACTACTCTGCATAACAATCCAACTCTAAATTGAATCCTAAAATGCGGAAAAACCATTTTTATTTTTTTTTAAAATTAGAAAATCAACATCATAAAAAGAAAGCAAAGCATGATCAAGGCTAAGAAAGTGAAGAAACTAAAGCCAAACCATTAGCTTTGCGCAATCTCTAGTCCAAACTTTTCATATGCATAGAAGATCTTAGCGAAATAATGAAAGTAATAAACATCTAAAGGAGATAGAATTTGCTGCTAGGAAGTAAACTTATTTGTATAAATCAGACAACCAAGAGTGCCTATCTATATAATAATGTTAGTGTAACCAGTGAGAGACAAAATCTACTTTGTAAGAGCAAGTTGCATTTTCAAAAGAAAACAAACCCAGCTGAAAATTCAAAATGTCCATCCAATGCAAAATGTAAACATATTGCCTCGATTTTAGAATCTCCCTAGTAGTATAATAAGGCCCAATCTTGTTATCTCTCACGGTTTTTTAGTCTTTTCTCCGTTAATATTTTTTTTCAAAAAAAAGATATCTAAATAAAAAAATTTAAAATTAAATACATGAATTAAAAATTGGATAACTCAAGAAAATGCATAAGATAAGAGTGATAACTTGATAAGTATGGACAGTACAGTAAAAAATTTGATAGAGATGAATCTGATCCACACAAATTGGGAATGAGGGAGATTAGTAGTTGGCTTTGCTAACCTATAAAGAATTATTAGGGAGATGTAGGCTTCGTTTGGTAACAGCGTTTTCGATTAGCGTTAGCGTTTTGGATAAAATTTTAATGGTGGCTATCGTCGGATAGCTTTTTGAAAACGCTAACGCTAATCTCTAACGCTAATGCCAAACGGGGCCGTAGTTTCCGTACCACGAGATATAAGAAAATGACTCGTGAGCCCAAGATATTTGCCAAATTGCAAAGATGAGGAGGATTGGCCCATTTCTCCGCTAAAGGCCCAATGTCAGCCTCCCTAGGCCTAATGGTGAATTGTATGATCCATGAGGCCCAGGTAGACCTCGTACCGATTAGGGGGGGTAAGCCATGTAGTATGTTTCAAGTAGGAAAGACTCTTCAGGGAGAGTAGTTAGTCTGATCTACCAAGATTGATTCGAAATATTCGAACTGAATGAGTTCATAGGGATGAAAGAAGTACTCCTTAGACAATAGACTTCAAGTTGAAGGAGAAAAAAATCAACAAAAAAAACATTGTTTGAAAGAAATAATTACCATCAAATACAATTACATGTATGGAAAAATTAATAACTTTTGAAATAAAATTAAGATTGAAATTGAAATTATTTAGACTTGAGTCTCGACAAGCTTATTAAAACGTTCCAAATAGTATTAGTTATAAATGGACTTTGTTTCATTCTCCCTCGAACTTTTTACAAAAATGCATGATTTAATTTTTGAACTTTAAAGAGTACACTATTAGTCTCTTTTTTTTTCATAAAGTGTTGACCCGGCAAAAATTTCAAGAGAAAAGAAAGGGAAGAGTCAAGAGTCTCTCTCCTTGTGTTGCATAATGTATTTCTTCTATATATTTAAATGTTTTTCTCATTTAAATGTACACTGCATGTCTCTTTATCATTCATTTTTATTTAGTTTTTATTTTGTTTATTTTTTTTGAATTTTACCTGCAAATTTTTGTGGTTATGAGTGTACCCCTAGCATTTTCCTTTTCTCATTTGTAAAAGAACAAGAATAATATAGAAACTCTCCCATGTTGCCAAAATCAGGGAGTGGCAAGAGAGTGAACTCGAGTTCGATTATTAGCAACTGTGTTGGACGGGAACTATGCTAAACATTGTGCCTCTGCAAGTACCAGGTACAAGTTCCACTACATGCCACTAGTCTCTGATCAAAGTCCAAAACTTTGAGTGATTCACACTCTTTCTCACTCGACTGCATCACTTTCAACTACATATTTTTATTTTTTTAAAACTTTATGTTACGTCAAACTATGAGTATTTTTTTGGCCGAAAAGAATATATCCTCTAAATTAACATATCCTACTCAATTAGTAACTTTAAAAATGTCCAAATAAACGTCCCACAAAATAAATAATGGTGAGGTTCCAGTGACACCGGAGTACGATGACACTCCAGTGTCACTGTTAATTTTGGGACATTTTCGATATTTCGTTTACAAAATTGATGATTTCTACTTCTCTAATCACCCCCTACTTTCCTTACCTCCACCCCAACCCCGTCCTAAGCTCCCTTTTGGAGGAGGACTTAGGACTCGGGTGGAGGGTTTAGAGAGATGTTTAGAGTATGAATCATTAATTTTACAGACAAAGAACCAAAAGCAACACAAAATATACAAGTGTCATCTGTTGACACTAGATTCCACTGTCTAGTGTCAACAGAACCCTCCAATACTCATGCTACACTACCAAAATTAGAATAATTTCCTTCAAACCCTCTAAAATTCACAACCAATATTTTCAAGCGTTCAAACAAATCGAGAACAAATTGTCCAAATTATTGGTAACAAATAGGGAGTAACAATCATGCCTCCACAACAGTACATATTCTTTATTCGGAACTTTTTGAACAATTGCATTCTGTTCAAGAAGACAATTTTCTTGCAACACAGTGACCTACTTTTTAACTTGTTTTTAGATTTGGAAGAAATAAAAGATGAATGTTCGTCCTTGAAGCTCTTGGAGCACAACAATGGCGGCGAGATCGGAAAGGCGAACCGATCTCCACATTATGTCGAAGAGATGGAAAGACCCAGACCTCAGCCCGGAGCCGCCGCGCCGGAGAGCCGCCGTGGTCTACTACCTCTCTCGAAATGGCCACCTCCAGCACCCCCATTTCATGGAGGTCCCGTTCTCGTCCTCCCGAGGTCTCTATCTCAGAGGTAAGAGAGATTTAAAATTAAATAAAATGTGAATAATTGATTAAAAGAATTATTGAATACTTTTAGTTTTTTTCTACTCAGATGTGATTTATCGCTTGAATTCGTTGCGGGGAAAGGGAATGGCGTCGCTGTATTCATGGTCTGCCAAAAGGTTAAATTTTTTTGCTGGAATTTCTGGGTTTTAAATCTTTTTATTTTATTTTCCCTGCAAATTACTGTGAAATCGAATCTGAAGAGAGGATTGTTTGGGCTGTTAGGAGATACAAGAACGGGTTTGTGTGGCAAGATTTGGCGGAGGGCGATTTCATACACCCGACTTCCGATGAAGAGTACGTCCTCAAGGGATCGGAGATTCTGGACGGAATATTGACTCCGGGCGGCGAGGAATTTGAACTTCCGGCGGCGAAGGGTCATCGTGATAAACCGCTGCTGGGATCCGTGGAAGAAGAAGAAGAGGACCGGGAGGAGGCGTTGAACCGGAGTCAGAGAACGGAGCTGAGCGGAGGGGAAATATCGCCGTCGGGGTCAAGTCCGGAAACGCTGGAGAGGTTGATGAAGGCCGGTGGCAGGGTGATCTTGGTCAACGAAAGTCAAACTGAGGCTAAATTTGAAACTTCAGTTAATACCACCAAGTTTTCTTGTTTTAAATTGGGATCCCTTTTCTTGTTTTAATCTTTTCTCTTTTTTCTTTTTTCTTTTTGAATTATTTTAAATAAACTTTTTATCCTTTGAAAAGAATGAAATATATGGTCCATATTAATCTTTTTAGCATTTATAATCTCGACTCAATAATTACATTGTTTTAAGTAGAAAACAAATGAAAAGATTAATAATTTAAGACGAAAGTTACCCTCATTGGATTCAATTCTTTCCAAAATTGCACATTAAACCAAACAAAGGGAATATTTATTTTTCATCCCCTCACATCTCTTCTACGAGCCCCAACAACCCTAAGCCTTTGTTTGAATGAGAAAGAGAAAATAAGATGAAAGAAAATGATAGGAAAAAAATAGTGCAAAAATGATGAGAAAGAAATTAATGTTTGGATTGATAGAAAATAATTAAAAAAATAGAGAGAAAAGAGAAAAAAATAGAAGAAGAAGAAATTAATGAGAGAATAAAGCTTGGTACGTGTTTTCTTGGATGATAAAACTTTTTTTTTCCCCTCTTTTTACTCATTTTCTCATCCAACCAAATAAGTGAAAATGTTTCTTTTCTCACCATCAATTTTCTTTCCTTCATTTTTCTCATCATCCAAACATTGTGTAAAGTGACATGCATGGCATAACTTGGTTTTGGAAGGAGCAGATTTGTAAATGGACCAAATGTCAATTTCTCGCAATGTGTGGTGTCGGAGTGACTTTTTGAGGCGTCCATTTTGGGATATAAAAATAAGAATGAGAATCTTGCATATCTTTGGGACTGATCCCCCCCCCTTTAATGGACTCTTAAGTTATTCGTTTATCGTCAGGCCGAAGTGTTGGAGGCCCTAAGAGTTGGGCCGGGGATTCAACCTTTTTGCAACAAAGGCCCTAAAGTGGACAAATTCATTGTTTTAAGGTATGTTTGATTGAAGAAAAAAATATATTTTTAGATAATCTTAGTTCTAATTTTCTCAGTTTAGAAAAGTAATTTGTAGGAAAATATGCTTAAGAACACGGAGTAATTATTTTCTTTCAATGTGAAATATACTTTTCATTTTCTTTCAAAATTTCTTCTTTTACTTAATCATCGCATGGTCCTGACCCTGTCCATCTTCATGCTCTCCCCCCTCTTCATCACCTTCCTCTGCTAGTTCCACCCGCCACCTCGTTCTCTAGACCACGTCCATGTACTGCATGCACGCTAACTTGTTTTAAAATTCTCTTTTAATATATTATTAAATGTGAATTTTAATAAACAAAGAAAAGTATGATAGAAAAATAATTTTCTTCAAGAATATATTTTTTTGTCTAATCAAACGAAACCCTTGAAATATGTTTAGTTCGGAGGAAACCAATGGAAGGGAGTCGTTCCGAAATTATCTTCGAGGTTTGTAAAACTTGTCCAAAGCAAGACACATTTATTACAAAGAATTTTTTTGTTTAAAGACCAAATCTAATGTCGTAATCTTTTAATATACAAAGCTAAAGTGAAAACATGAATAGTGCAAGTTTCCTGCCTAAACACATTGGACACGGTTTGGGCATTTGATTTCGGGTATCGGATTGGGCAAAGAAGATAATTGATCCGAATGGACAAAATGGTTTTTTTGTTGGGCTAATGGATCTTTAGTACCCGTGAACATTTAAAGCAAATGTTGGGACATGTGTTTTGACGGGATATGTTGGGACATGTCTTCACTTCAATCAATTCACCTTTAATTCTCACACACCCCAATGTAAAATCATCATTACTTTCTTCCCACAACCCATATATGGATTTAATGTTTATAAACTCTTGCCTAATACCTTCAATTCATTTCTCTACCATTAAAGCTTTTGAACATTTCATCTTTCCAATATGGCTCAAAAACATGTTTTTCCTGGTCTCTTTATCAATTTTGGTTAGCTCGAAAAGGACCATAACAACATTGTTATCCACATACGAGCTATTAGTGTCTATCACGTTCATCCTTTTAAAAGAAATATTAAATCCATGGAGATGGTCTTTCATGACGATGAGGTATGTAAACTTTGTTTAAATCCTAATGATTCAAGTTATGTTTTAAAGTTATGCACTCAAACAAGCAACTGTTTTCAAACCATTTTTTGAAATATTCTAATTGTCCACCATATTTTAAACATGCTAACTGTCTTTCTTGATGTGTGTCTTGAGCCACGAACCATTTAATGTAAAGTATAGAGTTTTTAAGCATACTAAATTTTCGTGACTCTCTATGACCTGAATATCTTGATTTAAAATAATTGAAATATCCTTCTATTTTGATTTTACTAAAAAACGTTTTTAAAAGAAAAGTAATAATACTTTTATTAAAACATATGCATTGATAGTGTAAACAATTTTCAAATTTGTTGGACATATCAAGCAGCATTGATATACGAAGTATTAAATTAATAAGTCATTTCGGATGTCACTTAAAGTATAAGTAATTGATTATATTCTTTAAACATTGATATACGAAATATTAAATGAAGAAGCCATTTCGGATTTGACTTAAAGTATATGTAATTGATTATATTCTTTGAGCACTGATATATGAAATCTATACTTTATTTAAAAAGAGGTGAATTTTTTCCCACCCAAACGTGAGAGGATTAAAAGGAATGTTTTGTGCATGTTATCCCATTACATTTATTCTAAGCATTAATATTGATAAGTATTACTTAATAAGTACTATATTACCATTTTTTGGTCGGGAGAATATAAAAAATGTCAAAGTAATATATAGAAAGTGTGTGTTACTCGAGTAGCTATTAATATTGGTAACCATTAATTAAAAATTATTATGTTTCCATTTTTTAGTTGGAAGAATACAAAAAACATATAAAATGTATTTCTATGTTTCCATTTTTATAAAAATGTAAGGGTGATTATTATTTCCAATCTAAATACGAAAATAAAAAAATTCACAAATTCCAAAATCAGTAAAGAAATTAAATTTTTCTACATATTGGTAAGCATTAATTAATAATTACCATGTTTCCATTTTTGTTGGGATAATACAAAAAAATATATTGCATATTTCTATGTTTTCATTTTCATGAAAAGGCTAGCCTGATTACTATTTCTAATCTAAATACGAAAATAAAAAAAAAATACATATTGGTAAACATTAATTAATAATTACTATGTTTCTATTTTTGGTTGGGAGAATATAAAAAGATATATTACGTATTTCTATGTTTCCATTTTTACTAAAAGACTAGCTTAATTACTATTCTAATCTAAATACGAAAATAAAAAATATTTAAAAATTTTAAAAATCAATAATTTTTCATACATATTGGTAATCATTAATTAATAATTAATATGTTTCTATTTTTGGTTGGGAGAATACAAAAAAATGAGAAATGCTAGATTCATAAATCAAATGATCACAAAGTTCACACACTTACAATTTGTGGGGTTCAATAAACAAATAAAATAGTCTAGAATAATTTATTAAAAAAGATTATAAATCACAAATAATAAGTTTGTGAAATTTATGATTAGTTTGTTGGTGAACTTAGAATTTATTATAAAAATATATTGCATAGGAATTAATTTTGGTAAACATCAATTAACAATTTCTACGGAGTACTAGGTTTCCATTTTTTGGTTCAGAGAATACAAAAAAAATATAGCATACCAATAAGTTTTCATTTTTAGTAGAAGGCTGGCTGACTAGGCTGATTCGAAAAATTTTAAAAATTACAAATTCCGAAATAGAAAAAGAAATTAAATACTTTGGTATGTATAAGTTTTTGGTAAGTATCAAATTCCGAAAATAAAAAAATATATTGCTTAGGCATTAATTTTAGTAAGCAATTTTTACTATGTTTCCATTTGTTGGTTGGAAGAATACAAAAAAATATATTGTACCAATAAGTTTCCATTTTTATTAAAAGGCTAGGCTGACTAGGCTGATTCCGGAAATTAAAAAAAGTTTACAAAATCCGAATTGGAAAAAGAATTAAAATTTTCCTACGATATATACAGACATTTTCAAAATCTTTTTGTAATTACCCTCTTTGAACTACGTTTTGAGTTTTAAAGTTCTTATTAAGTTATTATATTAAATATTATATAATCATTCATTTCTACCTTTCGAGTAACCTGGGATTGTTAACAAATGTAAAAAATATTAGTGAGAAGTCATTAGTTTTGATGCTTAAATTAAGAGCGATAAGAGTTTATCATTTCCCCGCCCAGGCTAGGGGACTTAAATCCTTGGATGTAATTTTTCATGATTCAGATGTTAGTTATTTCATTATAATTAACCTAAAATATGTATACATTCACAATGTTGTAATGATGCTAATATGCATTTTTTTTCATTTGCACTGTCAGAGAGATCGAATACATGATAAGAGCCAAAGTACTATGCACTTTAAACGAAAAATTAAAAGAAGATAGTGTTTATTTACTGATAAGAGTCAAAGACTCAAAGCACTACGTAATTACCAAACAACGAAAACTACCAACCACCCTTTTATGCTAAAATTCTTTGGGGGTAGGACAAAACTTAAAGAGATTTCGGAAAAGTTTTCTAAATTTTCTTTACAAGTTTTTGGGATTTAGAAATTTGGTGACAATGTGTTGTTAATTGGTAAACATCACTTAGATTATTATCACTTTGTATCTTTCAAAACTGATGTTAATATAATTTACTAACGTAAATATGATTCGTGCAACGCACGAGCATGATACTAGTATTAAATGAAAAAGCATTGATATACGAAATACTAATTAAAGAAGCCATTTCGGACGTGACTTAAAGTATAAGCAATTAATTATTTGCTTTGAGCCACACACCCAAACTCACATTAATGGTGTAAACAATTTTCAAAATTGTTAGACATATCAAGGAGCATTGATATACGAAGTATTAAATGAAGAAGTTATTTTAGATGTGATTTAAAGTATAGGTAATTGATTATATTCTTTGAGCCACACACCCAAAGTCGCATTAATGATGTAAACAATTTTCAAATTTGGTAGACATATCAAAGACCATTGATATACAAAGTATTAAATGATGAAGCTATTTTGGATGTGACTATAAAGTATAGGCAAGAGATTATTTGCTTTAAACCACACACCCCCAAACCCACATTAATGGTGTGAACAATTTTTAATTTTGTTGGACATATCAAGAAGCATTGATATACGAAGTATTAAATGAAAAAGCTATTTCAGGTCTGACTATAAAGTATAGGGAAGAGATGATTTGCTTTGACCCACACACCCAAACCCACATTAATGGTGTGAACAACTTTCAATTTTGTTGGACATATCAAAGGGCATTGATCGACGAAGTATTAAATGAAGAAACCATTTTGGATGTGACTTAAAGTATATGACGTCTTGCGCGGGGTTATTGCTCAAGAAATTTAGTTTTTAGTCATGACCAACTTTACATTGCTGTCTCTCGAGTGACCAATCGACATGCTTTGAAGATCTTGATTTGTAATGATGACTTACCACCTTCAAATACTAAAGGGAATATAAAGTCTTTCAGAATCTTTAATTTAGTCTTTTTTGTCTTCACTATTAATTTCTCAATATTAGTATGTAATGCTTTTAATCTTTATATTGAATACAATTTGTTTTATGTATTATATATACTATAAATTTAATATATTATTTTCTTTTACTATTTCAAATTACTGACCGTGCCAGGTTAGAAATCTAATTATTTTAATCAAACCATGGGGACTAACACGACTCATATCCACCTTTAAGTGATATTGGGCTTTGCATCTAGAAAGGTAGAAAATTGAATTGACCATACACGAAGCGGGCCGCTCCAAGTTAAATGAGACAAACAACTAATTTTGATTTTTATGAAATTTAAGAAAGATATTTTGTATTGACTTTTTAAAAATATTCTTGATGTGATGGTAAAAGTAAGACGTGATCGATATATTATTAGTAAAAAGGTATGATGTGATTAAACAAATTCAATCAAGACGAATCTTGAGATATTTTCATTTTGTTAAATTTTTTTAAATATAAATTCGAATCTGAATATGAAACGAATTTCAAATAACATTTGTATCTGATCAATTTTTTCTAAACGAAGATTTGAATAATCATACTTTAAATACACTAACATCGTTTTTGAACAATTTAACTTAGGCTATTTTTTATAGTATATCTGAAGTCATTAATACATTTCCGTATTACACAAATTATATTGTATAAAATATAATTATTGAAAAGCATATACTTTAGATTTGTATGTTACGTTAATTTAACCGAATACTAGTAATTTAAATTCATTTTACTGTATTAGTTTTCTAGACTATCAGTTTTGAACATACTCTCCATTAGCATTATTTTTTATTGACTGCCGTCATTTCTATATTTAATTTATTAAATACTGGTATAAAATATTCAGAAATAAAAATTTGATTTTTAGAAACACATAAAAATTCTATAAATTAAAAGGTCATATTACTTCTTGTAATGTATGTGGAAAAGAGTTTTTAGAGTGTTCGTTAGTGTTTTTAAAAATGATTGTTAACTTCTACTTTGAATAATAGAATAAGTGTGGATTGTGGAGTGTTTGCAACACTATGATTCTCAGCTTTTTTAGAGATGAAAAAGTAGAAGCTCAGAAGTTACTTTGATCAGCTTTTAGATTATATCGTTAAAATAATCATTTTTTAAAAAAAAATTGAGCGATTCCAAACATCTTCTTAATAATGTTGTCGGAGGATGCAATGTTAGTATTGACAATATATAATTGAAAACAGTACCAAATTACAATGGAAATTCAATTAAAAATAAAATTTACTTATTTGAAAATTACATTAAAAAATGTAATTTTAGTCAAAAATAAAACTTACATACTCGAAAATACAATTTTGATGTAATTTTCATTTGAATATTAGTTTGGATTATTCTGTCTAAATCCAGATCGGACATGTCTAGTATTGGTCCAATACTCGGGTCTCGTTTTGAGATTTAGGTTAGTTGGGATGGTGTTTAATTTGATCCAGTTTGGAATAGAGAAAATATATTCTATACAATTTTTTATGTTTTTCTCATTTAATGTTACATTGACGTTGAAATTTTTTATTTAATCAATATCATGGCTTACTCAATTTTGAAATGCTTGTTATACATAACAAACCAAAGTTAAAATTTAGCAATTGTGCTACTCTGTATGATATAATAGTATATTTTTTCTTAAGCTTGTTAAATGAAATGGTGGAATTAATTGCTTCTTAATGAATTAAGATGCAAAGAATTTACAACTAAATGAACTAATTAATCAAGAAAGGGGCCATATATTAAATTAAATGAGCAAATCCAAGGTCGTCTTTGGAAAATCCGCGAGGCCCCTTGTATCGTCAACTCTCTCATCTTCTATTGAATCATCATCATCATCATCATTAGGTAGCAAATTCAAATCGAACAAACCCACACCTCTAATCTTGTCCATATCATCTCTCTCGTTCCAATTTATTTTGTCTGTTTTCTGGTACTCATCTTCACCATTTTCAAGCTTCTTACCTTCTGTCGCACGGATACGTTCCTCTGCGCGATGTTTTCTCATGTGACCTCCGAGCGCCTGGCCCAATCCGTACACCAAGCCGCAAACGGGACACTCGTGACGTTTCCTCTCCTCGGGCCCGCCGTCGTCCTTTCGGACGACAGCGGGGCTAGTCTTCGGTCTCTTGTGGCTGGACATGTGGCCACCCAGGGCCTGAAATGACTGGAACCGCTTTTTGCATGTCTTGCACTGGAAATCCCACTCTGAGGTTGAATTCACCCTCCGGGCAGCCTCAGAGCGGGATTCGAGAAGAATGAGGCAGTTGGCCATCGCCAACGCCTCCACGGCCGCCGCCACTTCCCGCCTACTCCTCTTCATCATCACCGTCATTGTCGTCTTAGGGGTCGAGTTGGTAAGGATTAGGTTGTGGTCGGTTTAGGCATAACTGCACGTATATATAGAGAGAATAATTAAATGAAGGGAAGTTTCTTCGTTGGTTGTTTGTCAACACATTCATACCTCACTTAGCTTTTTTTCTTTCCCCTTTTATAGAAAAGAAAGGATTTTGTTTATAGATTTAGTACAAAGGTACTGATTTTCAAATTTGAGTGAAAATACGTAAGTGATTACACTTACATACTACGTTCTTTTTTTAATCCTTCAACCAAGTTCGCTTTTCAAATCTAATACTTGACCAATATAAACATTAGAAGCATTTTTCGATGTCAAGAATTTGATTTTTTTTTTGAATTTTTTTATTAAATTTTTTAAAATATATAATTAGTAAAATATTTGGCACGCAACCCGAATCAGATAATTAAAATGAATGGAGAGAGTATTTCATAACCGGGAGTCAACATTTTGTGAAATTTGAATCTTTAACTTACATTTATCAAGAAAAATATTTCTCATTTTGACTTTCTATAAATTTAAAGAGGAGATACTGACAATAATGTGGGAGTACATGTGTTTATATACACAAACTATTCCTAATCCTAATCATGGTAGGATTCTACAATAGGAAACAATATACATACAATAAATATAGAATATATATTTAACATAAATATAGAATATATTTAACATGCTCCCAACTACGTCGGCGTCGATGGTGGGCGAATCCCGAGGCTTGTCCGGAAATCCTGAAATAATATGGACGGGAGGCCCTTTGTGAATATATCTGCGTACTGTGAGAAAGATGGCACATGAAGAACTCGAATCTGGCCAAGGGCCACCTTGTCACGAACAAAGTAAATGTCTACCTCAATGTGTTTGGTGCGCTGATGCTGAACTGGATTGGTGGAGAGATAAACAGCGCTAACGTTGTCACAGAAGATGAGTGTGGCGCGGCGTAGGGGTTGCTGTACCTCTAGTAGGAGATTTCGGATCCAGCTGGTCTCGGCAACGGCATTAGCGACGGCTCGGTATCCAGCTTCAGCACTGGATCGGGAAATGGTGGCCTGACGCTTGGAGGACCAAGAGATGAGGTTGTCCCCAAGGAAGACACAGTAACCTGATGTGGATCGTCTGGTGTCGGGGCACCCAGCCCAATCAGCATCGGAGTAGGCCTGAAGGGAATCTGTGCGAGACGGAGAAAGAGTCATACCATAGGTGGAGGTGCTGCGGAGATAGCGTAGTACCCGCTTCATAGCTGTGACGTGGACATCTCGAGGGGCGTGAAGGTGGAGACAGAGCTGCTGAACAGGGTAGGAGATGTCTGGCCTAGTAAATGTGAGATACTGGAGGGCTCCAACGATGGAGCAATAGAGGGCAGGGTCGGCTACCAGGGGACCCGATGTGCCAGATAGTTTAGCCTTTGTGTCGACAGGAGTGGAGATGGGACGACACGTAATCATACCGGCACGCTCAAGGATGTCGTGAGCGAACTGTGTCTGATGTAGAAAGAGACCATGAGCTGTCCGATGGACATTGATGCCCAAGAAAAAATGAAGGTCACCCATGTCAATCATAGCAAATTCCCCCTTAAGGCACTCAGTCAAGCGCCGAAGAAGAGAGTCGGAGGAAGCTGTGAGGACAATGTCATCAACATAGAGGAGTAGGTAGGCAGTGTCCGTCCCATGAGTGTAGATAAAGAGAGAGGTGTCCGACTTACACCCTCGAAACCCCAGTGTGTAGATGAATCCAGCAAATCGTTGGTACCATGAGCGGGGTGCCTGTTTCAAGCCATAGAGAGCCTTCTTGAGCCTGCATACATAATTGGGCCTGTGGGGGTCCTGGAATCCGGATGGCTGAGAGGCGTAGACAACCTCTTGCAGGTGGCCATGAAGAAAGGCATTTTTGACGTCCAACTGATGAATCGGCCATCTTCGAGAGAGAGCAAGGCTGAGAATGATACGTATGGTGGCTGGCTTGATCACAGGGCTAAATGTCTCATCATAGTCGACTCCGAATCTCTAGTTGAAGCCCCGAACAACCCATCGAGCTTTGTACCTGGTTAACTCACCTGTAGGGCCAAGTTTGTGCCTAAAAAGCCATTTTCCGGTTATGATATTTTGGTGAGGGGAGGGGGGTACTAATTCCCATGTGTCATTCTTGATCAATGCATTAAATTCCTCACACATAGCATTGTGCCAATTGGGGTCTTTGAGAGCACTACGGTAGGTGAGCGGGAGAGGAGAGATGGGAACNTGGACGCGGGCCGAGGAGACCCGAGCCCGGGTTGGGATGCGGTGAGTTCCAAGGTATATAGCCGTCATACGGGTGTCGTTGCGAACCAGAGTTTCTTCCTCGTCCACGTCCACGGCCGCCCCCATCACGACCAGAGTTGCGCCTCTGCTGCCCGCGACCGCCACCGATGCCGCCGTTGTGCCCACTACCGGGCGTCCCACCGTTGCGCCCGAAACTGCCGCCGTATGGTGAGCTGCCGGTTCGGCCAGCCATGAGCGCCGTGCCAGCGTCGTCCATGATGGTTTGTCGTTGTCGTTCAAGGAGCAGGAGAGCGGATCAGGTCTGAAGGAACATGGGCAGCAGTTGTTGGAATTGCAAGAACGATGTCTGAGCCTGGAGATCGTCGGGTAGCCCACGAAGCATTTGAAGCACAAGTTGAGACTCAGAGACCGGGGCGTCAATATCATCCAACCAATCGGCAATGTTTCGCAAAGTTTGACAGTAAGTGGCCATGGTCATCGAACCCTTGATGGTGGTTCGAAACTGGTGCTCGAGTTGCATCGCCCGAGCATGTTTGTTGTCATGAAAGAGAGCATGAATAACCCGCCAGAGTTCAGCGGCGGCGGTGGTGGTGGAGATAACCAGATCTGAGACTTCGTCAGTGATGGTAGAGAGAAACCAACCTTGAATCAGGGCGTCAAGATGGTAGCATTCATTATGAGGAGAAAGAGCCAGCTCCATTTTTTGTAGTTGGGCTGAGAAAAGCTGAGCTGAATCGGGACATGAAGCTTGACGTTGGAGATTGTTGTGAAGGCAAGATGAGAAGCATTCGAGGAGGAGGAAGAGGTTGAGTTTTCTGAGGGTTTATCAGAGGAAGCCATATTGAGAGGGGAGGGCGCTGTCGTCGCCGAGGAAGAGAAGGGCTGTGCTGCGCTGCTGTTGCCGTCGAGGAGAGGAGGACGGCGGGTGGTGTGCGGCGCTGGGAGAAAGCACGCCGAGAGGGAGGGAGAGAGCACGGGAAGGGTTAGGGTTTTTGGGTTGATAGATTATGGCTCTGATACCATGAAGAATTATGAATTTCCTTAAACAATAATGTGGGAGTACATGTGTTTATATATACAAGATATTCCTAATCCTAATCATGGTAGGATTCTACAATAGGAAACAATATACATACAATAAATATAGAATATATATTTAACATAAATATAGAATATATTTAACAGATACTTTTACTTTAACTTGTCTAATTTGCCCTTGGATGCATATAATGAGTAAAGGTAAGATGTGAATTTGATGTGATAGATAATGTAAAATTAATAGAATTAAAAGTGTGACGTTTTAATGTACAATTAAAAGATCTTTTGGGAAAAATAAGAAGTCTTAGTGAAAATTTTTTAAAGCATGTCCAATAGTGGGACTTTCTCTCGTAAGTCGTAACATCTAAATAAATAGAGATTTTGTTATGAAATTAATGATTGTTCATATATTCAATTAATCAGGACTAATTTCTAGAATAGTAGATTAAGACACTCATTGATGAGTATCAATTATGTACAGTACTTCCCACTTGTATTTGTATCCATACCAAGGCTCTCCACTATAAATAGAGGCCTAATCCCTGTATTGTAATCACAATTAAGAATAAGAAGAAGAGTGAAGAGTTAATAGAGAGAAGAAATCAGAAATATATTATATCTATTCTCATAATCTTTGAGTAGTTTTTCTCTCATTTTATAACACGTTATCAGCACGAATTTGCTCAAAATCCTAGGAAACCTTGTTCTTCTCAGAAGGTGTATTTATTTTATTTTCTTCATAAACAAACTATTGTTTGTACTTGTTGCTTGTACTTGGTGCCTTATCTGTGCTATACTGTGTTATCTTCCATATTTTTGTGCAGGTGGAGCCGGGGGTCTCTTGGAAACAGCCTCCCTACTTCCGAGTAGGGGCAAGGTCTGCGTACACACACCCTCCCCAGACCCTACTGTTGTGGGATTCAACTGGGTTGTTGTTGTTGTTGTCTTCATAAACAAACTAAAATATTTTCTTAAAAACTATGAGAAGTATGCTCTGTGATTGCCCAAAGTTGGGATCCTTCACATCAGAAACTTATAGTTATAAAAACTAAAATTAGATAAATTAAAAAGGAATAAGCTTCCTCATAATTGCAGAAAATCACATTTTTGAAAAAAAAGGGTAGAATTTAATATGGAGTAGCTAAAATTGAAAAACAAAATTTAATTTCATCTTTAAACTATTCTTGAATCCTGCAAGCTAAGATCGAAAAACCAAAACTAAATTTATCTTTTAAACTATTATTAAAAGATAAATCGTAAAAGAAAAAAAAACATCCTACAATTCAATAATTTCTATTATGAACATACCTTGCTTCTACCCTTTTCTTCTCATTTATTCCCGTATCCATAGATAAAAAAAAATATAAAGGATTGTTTAGGATGAATGTGTATATAAGACTGGCCAGGATTCCTTTTCCAACTGTACATCCATATACATATCTATATACATGTAGCTTTGTTTTTGTCTTTTTGTTACTAAAAGAATCATTTTATTTATTTATTTATTTTTATTGATCATCATGCCATTTGATTCCTTTTTTTATAGAGTACGAAAGTGATATAATGATTTGTCATGTTTCTTTTGCTCATATTTGATTTTTTTTTAAAAAGAATCAAATAAAAAAAATGATTATTTTTTGTACATTAACATGCATGTATGTAACTTTTAATAAATTATACTCCGTAATAATAAGAGCTTTACCCATATGTTTTGATTCCACAAATAATTAAATCAATACATGCTCATTATTTTGTTTGATTTTTTTTTTATTACCGTGCTCTACAATTTAATCTATAATATAAAAAAAATCTCATAAATTTAAATTTATTACTTTGTAGTTTCAAATGGCCAACATCACCAAGAGAGAATTTGACATTCTTGATTTATCCGGTCAAAGGTACCTGGAATGGAGGGTTGATGCACTTGCTCACCTCAAGGCTAATGGCCTCGAAAATACAATTGCTGAAAACAATACATCATCATCTCAGCAAAAGGCAAAAGCCATAATTTTCCTTCGCCACCATCTTCATGAAAGTTTAAAATCAGAATATTTATTGGTGGAAGATCCGAAGGAATTATGGGATAATCTCCAAGAGAGATATGGACTTCAACAAAAAGTCTTATTGCCAAGAGCTCAATACGAATGGATTAATTTAAGATTCCAAGATTTTAAGTCCGTTTGTGACTATAATTCTGCTATTTTCAAAGTCACGTCCACATTAAAATTATGTGGACATAATATCACTGATCATGACATGTTGGAGAAAACTTTTTCCACCATGCATATGTCAAATGTGATATTGCAGCAACAATACAGAGAAA